GATCCTAAGGTCAACAAAACAGATCCCCTCAACACCTTGGCTGCGCCTAGAAATTCTGTCCATAAAAGTTATGAACAGAATCGGTGACAAAGGGCAACCTTGGCAGAGTCAAACTCTCACTGGAAACAAGTCTGACTTACTAGCATACAGGTACCGTACAGGTATCGTACAGGAACCTAACAGCCTGTATCAAAGGGCTTGGCACCCCAAATTCCCGGAGTACCCCCACAGGAGTCGCCGAGGGACATGGTTGAATGTCTTCTCCAAGTCCACAAAACACATGTACACTGGTTGGGCGAACTCCCATGCACCCTCCAGGACRCTGCTGAGGGTGTAGAGCTGGTCCAGTGTTCCACAACCAGGAAAAAAACCACATTGGTCTTCCTGAATACAAGATTCAACAATCCGACGGACCCTCCTCTCCAGAACCCCAGAATAGACCTTACCAGGGAGGCTTTGAAATGTGATACCCCTATAGTTGGAACACACTCTGCAGTCCCCCTTTTTAAATAAGGGGACCACCACCCCAGTTGGCCAATCCAGGGGAACTGCCCCCGATGTCCACAAGATGTTGTAGAGTTGCATCAACCAACGCAACCCCACAACATCCAGAGCCTTAAGGAACTCTAGGCAAATCTCATCCACCCCAAGTGCCTTGCCCCGAGGAGCTTTTTAACCACCTCGGTGACCTCGGCACTAGAGACTGGAGAGTCCGACCCAGGGTCCCCGGGCTCTGCTTCCTCATGGGAAGATGTGCTGGTGGGATTGAGGAGGTCTTCAAAGTATTCTGCCCACCAAGCCACAACGTCCTGAGTTGAGTTCAGCAACGCACCAGCTCCACCATAAACAGTGTTTGTTGCGAACCACTTAAAGTGTCAGTCGGCAGGAAGCAAAGACATTTCTTTCACCAGAACAACCTGGTGTTTATGGCATGGTGATGGAAAATATACTAATGGTGTTCACAAAAATGTCTCAGTGGAGAAGAGTCTCCAGATCAGAGTCCAGCTTCAAGTTTTCTTCATCATTCTCATCCTCTGTTTTACCTTCATCTAATGACTTCATCATCTTTATGTTTGATCTTATTTTCATTTTAACTTGACTGTGTAAGATAAGGTGTCTTTACTTGACAGCTGAAGCACGAACAGGAGACAAATTCAGATACAAGACTTGAATATTTAATTGTAGAATATAAAGTCTTACACAACCTTCAGCTGGACCAAAACAGACCTGAACAGAATCTCTGAGTTTTNCCGTCTCACTGGGGACTCCGCCAGACGTTCCCAGCAGACCCTCACTACACGTTTGGGCCTGCCAGGTCTGACCGGCTTCCTCCCCCACCACCGGAGCCAACTCACCACCAGGTAGTGGTCAGTTGACAGCTCCGCCCCTCTCTTCACCCGAGTGTCCAAGACATACGGTCGCAGATCCGATATATATATATATACAATTTCAGAACCGTAACGCAGAACAGTTATTCATAGGATAAAGCTTTGTGTTATTTTATCATTCATCTGAGAGGGCGCTGTTGCAATACTGTGTTTCATCATGGTGTTGGACACTAACAACAAGCCCTCTCTGCTGTTCAAGAAAATAATAAACTCTTTAAGGGAATTTCTTTACTGTAATGTCAGATGATGTTTTATCCATGATTGTACCTGGTGGAGGTTCCAGGAATGGGTCGTCCCGTGTCCACCAGAACACACCAGCAGTAGCCAGTGGACTGGTGGCATTGGACAGCTTTGTAAAGCCCTCCAGTTCCACAGTCTGGAATAAACAGGCTGCTGTAAGAAGTCTGGCCAGCTGAGTCCAGGCTGATCTGTCTCTCCTGGTCACAAGAGGGTCCTTTTTCTGAAACCACGAGAAAGTGACTGAATCAGAAAAAAAACTCAAGGAAAACAGAAACAAACAGAAACAATCTCAAAAAGTAGGAATAGGATCTAAATTGTGAACATGTCTGAAATGAAAATACAAAGATTGTTGGTTTACCCCCATTATCACAACTTGTTCACACTGTTTAGTCTTTAAACCCAACTCTACAAGTAGCTATTGTTTAAGCACCTCCACTTCACTGCGATGAGACTTCCTTCCTTATTTTGGCTCATATAAGATAAGATAAAATAAGATGAGATGAGATGAGATGAGATGAGATGAGATGAGATGAGATGAGATGAGATGAGATGAGCTGAGATGAGATGAGATGAGATGAGATGAGATGAGATGAGACAAGTTTGAATTTTATTGATCCCACAGTGGGGAAATTTGCACATTACAGCAACTCAAAACAGGGGAGCTGCAGTAACAGGCTGCCTGCCTTGGCACCATATTAAAACAGAAAAAAAAAAACAGAAAAACCACACAAGGGAAGATGAGGAAAAAACAAAACATCATATTATATCAACACTGTGACACACTATGGTGTTTATGAACAAAAAAAACCTCTGCATAGGGCAGATTTATTAACCAGAACAGTAAGTGAGATTAGGGGGCCCGAAAAAAATCCAGTCCTCTAAACCAGCACAGCTATAGTTCAGAATATTGATGGGACTGTTCATTCTGTGAGTCCCCAGCCTGCTCAGGAAATCAGAATCAAACGGGCGAGAGAGGAGAGGTGGAGGTGTGGGGGTTGAGCCTTGTCGACATATCCAGCCAGGAAGAATTTAGTCAACAATTCAAGGTCGTTGT